TAGCCTGTCAGGAGAAAAAATTAGAAATGTATCACTACAATAATTAGAAATGGAAATATCATGATTTTCATATTGTCCAAATCTAGCACACTACAAGAAATCAAAGCGTCCACTTTCACTGTACATATTTATCTCATCTCCTCTATCTTCCTACAATTTTCTTTTCTCATTTATCATATCCAAAATATCTCTTTTCTGACCTATGTACCACTGACAATCAGATTCATGTTCTAAACCACCCTTGGTTAGAGCCCTTTCATTCCTAGGCACTTAAATCTATGATTACTTTTCCTCCCAGAGACCATACATAACAGATATCCTGATTTCATTTTGAACTTTACTTCTATAATATTAAAAATATCACACCCAAACATCGGCACCTTTCCCTGACCACCGGATTTAAAGCAGGTTCTTTATCGAGTGTCCCAGCCTAGTGTGACTGTCCATGAATCTCTAGGCCTCCACCACCCATGCCTTTCCTGCAACTACTCACGGGTCCCTTCTGCTATTCTCCTAACCACCCCACCAATCAAGACTTCCCATGTACTCCTCCCGGGTCTTACAAAGTATACAACCACTGCAGCACACACATGAACTACTACAGCAGGACACACTGATGTGCTTATAGTGCAGGACACACGGGAGTATTGGGACAGCAGCACCCATCTGCAGAGGCAATAGAACAGAAGTGGAGATGGATCTATAAGCGACAACTGTGAACCTCAGTTTGTTGGAAAAGCAGCACATCAACATACAAGTATAGGAGTGCATGGGGCTGGATAGAAGTACAGCAGTGCACCTGGATTTCCTGCAACAGCAGCATACACGGATGAACTACTTCCATGTACCAGTACAGCCGTGCAGGGGAATGCACTAGTATAGCATGCACTTGGATGAATTAGTTCATCTCTACACGTGGATGACAAAGTATAGCAGTGAGCATCAATGTAGGATTCACTTGTAGAGCGGGGCACACAGGCATAGAAACACACCCTCAAACACAGATACATTAAAACAGCAGCACACATGACCAAATGAGAGCAGCACACATTGAGATAGCAGTACACTGAAGCCTTGCACAAGGAAGTACTAACACAGCAGACACATGTGTGTATTAGCACTGGGAGAATGGAAGTACCACTACAGCAATGCAACTGGATCTACTAGAAGAACACAGGATTGTACAGCACAGCAGTGCCTGTAGATCTACTAAGAAAGCAGTGTACACAGACTTACTAGTTCAGACACACACAAAACTGTTATATTTGTTGGAAATTTTTATTTTACTTGAGTTTTTAAATTATTTTTCAAATTATAATTTAATTACATTTCTCCTTCTTCTTCCAAACCCTCCCGCAGGCCCATCCTTTCTTTCCTTCAGATTCATGGCCTCTAGGTTGTACAGTACCAAACAGTAAGCCATGGAAACACACATACAGGTATCATTATACTGCACAGGTATATTTCAGAATATTTATGTCCATAAATGTCTTAGTTAGGATAACTACTGCTATGATAAAATACCATGACCAACAGCAAGTTAAGAAAGAGTTTATTTGTCTTACACTTTCAAACTACTGTTCTTCATTGAAGGAGGTCAGGATGGGAACTCAAACAGGGCAGGAACCAAGAAGCAGGAACTGATACAGAGGCCATAAAAGAATGTTGTTTACTTGCTTGCTCTTCATGCTTGCTCAGCTTGCTTTCTTATAGAACCCAGGACCACCATCCCAGGAATGGCACTGCCCATAATGAGCTGATCCTCCCACTAAACTTCTTCAACCCCATCAAGGACTCCAGAAGGATATAATATTACCTAAGTAAACAGGAAGTGCATTGTAAGCAACTTCCAAAACTCTAGAATTGACAGAGACATCTCACTGGACAGTCACCCAAAGTTCTTCTGTACTATTGGGACATCCATCTTAAGCCTTCAGGCCCATAATATCCAACAGACTTTTCCACAAAGCAGGAAATTTCAAAGACAGTTCCGCCTATATTGGCAGTTCGTCAGTCACCTTCTTCTGTATCCTGCGGAATGTCTTGCAGACTCTTTTATGAAGCAGGAACCCCGAAGGATCATCTCACCTTTAGGCAAATTCAGCAGTCATTTCTCTGCAGGTTTTACATGTTCAGTTAAGCAGTCCAGGCAAGAGCTGTTTCTTGCCCAAATGGCCAGCAAACTCCATACAGAGCCTCTTCAATATCCATCCATCTTCCTCTTGAAGTAACTGGTGCTTCCAGGAGCAGATGTATCTCAATGTCATGAAAAGTCCTAAGTTAGTAAAACATTTTAAATGCCATATTCTGAAGGTCTCTGAAAGATTTAAAGAATACCTATCTAATTGACATATATCTCTATACATCTAGAAAATCTAACTAACATGACAACAAACTTGACTATTAAAGATGACTATTAACCTATACTTCTTAATTATATATTATATTTTTAAATGAACTACATAATCACAATATCTTAATCAAGAGCAGAAATATACATATAACATAACTGACCTTAAATTTGTATCACTAAACCAAGATTCATATCAATGCAAATATCTCTAGCATATCCCCCTTTAAATGTAAACAAACATTTATAAACCATATTTGGGAATATGGGCATAGTTTTGTTCATACTACTTCCTGCTGTTTGGGGGCGCTGTTAAGTCTTTCATGGTGTATCCTGTGTGCTAGATTCATCTCAGTCAGCAGTTGGGCAAAGTAATTTTGGAGAGTGTTCTCATCAACCTTGCAGGAGGGCATGGTCTATTAAGCCATATTTGTTTGGATGTATTCCACAGGTTCTCATCCTCTGTGGAAACAAAAGAGAAACCTTTTTTCCAAAGCAACTTATCCTTAGACCCAAATTATGAAGTCATGGTACCTTTATAATAGCTTAGAGCCCATACAATGAAATGTCTCTCTGTACTGAGCTCTCCCTGACTCTGCTTTCTTTCTCCCAGCATTCAACTCTGTTTTCCACACCTACCTAAGTCCTGCCCTATCAAAAGGCCAAGGCAGTTTCTTTATTCATTAACCAATGAAAGTAACACATAAACAGAAGGACCTCCTACACCAGGACTACTCAAAAAAAAATGCCACAGGGTAGCTGTGTAAAAAGTGTTAAGACTTTTTAACAAGATACAATGCAGAAATTTACCTTAGAAAATATGCTGTGTTGTATGCCATATCAGCAGACACTGCTCTGTGTGCCACATCAGTTATCCTATTTTTATGATGCAAGAGAATTTTTTAAATATGCAGTGGCAAATGTTAAATTTTACATATGTATATTTCTCTTTAATTTTTATTTTGTTTTGTTTTGTTTGGGGTTTGGATTTTTGTTGTTGGTTTGGTATGGTCTGGTGTGGTATGTTGTGATTTGGTTGGGTTTGTTTTGGTGTGGTGTGGCTTGGTGTGGTTTAGTTTGGTGTGGCTTGGTTTATTGGTTTTGTTGTTGATCCTCATTTCTATCTAGAAAAAAAAAAAATCACCCCAACCTGAGAAGTACTCTAATATCATTAAGAGAAATACCTTGGCTTGATTTCAACATCTTACCAAGCCTTTCATATTATAATTTATTATTAAAACATTTAAAATGGTGGTGTGACAACATTTAAAAAAACGAAAGAAAATAAGCTGCCTGGCTGAGGTAATAAAAGATGAGTCAACATCAAACCACAGGTTTTGCTACTCTACTATACAAACTATTATTATATCAATGAAAATGATTCAAAAGTAAGATGTTAATCTATTAGAGAGAGGGAGGGGAAAGAGAGATGTATCATGCCATTTACTTGGAAACAGCAGTGAAGGCCAGCAGTGAAGTTCTGATAAAGCCATCCCTAGAGCCAGCTGTGAGTAGTCAGACACCTCCCCAATCACACTGCTGAAAACACTGGGTGAGGTACCAAACACTCCAGCCTGGGATCCACAGATTAGCTTGCTTCTAGCATTTAATAACATCTGCTATCGTGAATCTAGAGGATTGAGTAACTTTATTATCAGGGACTTTAAGGGGCCCATAATAAATTTCAGAAGGATATCTCAGAATTTTCAGTACTCACTGAAAAATTCCCTCCCGATACTATCTACTATATGTTTTCATTTTCATATTCTTTACCATATTTCTAAATTCCCACACCTCCTCTCCTCTCTAGAGAAAGGTATTTTTGTCGAGGCTGGCCCCCAACAAATGGTGCCGCAACATGGGGCTGACAGGTGAACCATGAAAAACATGAGTGACCAAATATACGAAGAACATGAGGAGCCGGCGAGAAAACTGCACCACAGGTAGAAAGGTAAGTAATGAGCACTCGAAAATAAATAGTAGATATAAAGAAGGAAAGCAAAGACAGGGCATAAAATCGGGAATAAAACTGTAAACATTTATAAAAAAATGGAGAAGGATATCTCAGGGAAGGGGATGCTAGATTTTGGCTTCGATAACAGAAATTTTTGAAAAGGAAAAAGTGAATCTTATGGTTATTATTTTCTCAATTCACTGAGAAACATCTGACCAGCTAAAATATGTTTTGCTTTCAAAGGTTGTGTTTTAACCAATTTAGAAAAGCAGTAAAAAAAACAAATCAAAACAAAAAACAATTAGGACTTTCTCCAACTTTAGTTTTTGTGGTAATTTGTGGGTATTTCTGCAAACAGTTAAATGAGACTCCAGATGCAACAACTTATACTATCAAATTCACGGTAACGGCAAATAAATAATCCTTAAACATCTACACTTTAGATACATGGAAAATTTCACAGAATTAACCTAGTAAATACTTGGTTCCATTTAGACTGTTGTAGGAATTTTCAGGAAACCATAATCTTCTGGTTTCTTCTCTGAAACAACCTTGACTTGTATATAAAATGTGATTCTGAGGATGGGGGCCTATAAATATCTACAAACTTAGATGCTTAAAGTCAATAAAAACAACTTTAGCCCCATTTTTAGGTAGAGAAAAACGTATTTTAAGAGATTAATCATCAGTGCAAAATGTGATCAACAGCATTTATTTTCCTTTTTTGAGGAATTAAACAGCAGACAACATTACTTCAGTAACACAGGGTGGGGAGAGCCACTTACTTACACATCACTTCATGCTTCTCCTTGTCCATGTTAAGTTCTTACCAAGCGCACTGACACTCTCTGCAACATTGAACATGTAACACCAGTTTTAGATTGCATGCATTCTAGGTTGGCCAACATCTGCAGGCACTGCACTTCAGTGTTTATAAACTTGATCATGCTCATAAAGAAATAAAACATTAAATGTTGCATGAATGATCACTGATATATTGCTTTAAAAGAAACGTTAAATGTTGCAATGTTGCATGAATGGTCAGTGAACTATATATCACTTCATTACAAAGTCTAATCCACCACAGGAACACATCAACTTTATTTTATTAAACTGATTACCAAGTTCTCCCTCTCCTTCATAAAACATAAAGATAACTTTCCTATGAGGTTTGTATTTTTCTTCAGTACTTATCCAAGCAAGTTTAAATAAAATGTAACAAAGGATATCTCATATTTAGCTTTGGGTTAGCTCATTTGGAGAATAAAACTTTACACAAACACACACACACACACACACACACACACACACACACACACAAAGAAAGAAACATTGCAGTCATTATTGATGGTGAGCAAGAAGCCCAAATTCCCAGGTGAACTTTAATTTTGCCCCCTTTAAGATAAGTTCTGTTAGAAATAAAAGACAGGTAAGGCTCCTTTAGATAAAGGTGGAAACAGTAATGGCTGCCATGATTGTTAGGTATCTTTAAAAGTGGCTCTAAAATCATCTGATGATCCAAACGTCACAAGCATATGAAAAGTTTCAGGTTTCTGGCACTGCAATGCTGGGGGTGCTGCAACAAGAAAGCTATTTCCTGACGTTTTGATGTCTTACTCTTGATGTTCAAGCAGAAAGTGTCTCCCTCCATTCGATGCAATAAGCTGGTCTATGAGAACTTGCAAGCAGGGATGAAGGAGTTCCCAAGTTACATGTACACACACAAATGGATCCATATAATAAATATATACAGCAAATAAAAAGGTTACATATAATTTAAAACCCTTCAACCCCTGCTTACCGAGTGCCAAATCTAATCATTGGTTTTGCTTAAAGGAAAAAAATCCCTGATACTATACACTGCATTAAGAATTAACACACTGACCTGAATCCAGGTTTAACAAATACATAACAAATATTAAGGTCAATAAAATAGATTCAAGTCGCTGCAATTTCATTTTATATTTGATACATTTTTCCTCCTACCCAGGATCAGCATGAGTGCTATACCAAAATGTAACTTTACATTTTAAATTTAAAGTATTACCTTTATTGAGTTTTTAATTTTGGAAAGGTTTCAATCCAGTATTATTTATATAGCTATATATCTATCTATTTATACCTAAGAAAAATGAGAGGTCAGTATAATCAGCATGAGCTTTTCCACCAGTCTCAATTCCCAGCCTACTTCTTTCCACACAGCATTTTACATTAATTATTACTTGTAATTTCAGAGCAAATTATCCAGACCACATCTTTTGGACCAGCCAATGATAGAAGCTAAATCTCAAATGCTATTCTGAAGAAGTGTGGAGTAAATAATTTTGGTAATCTGCAAGATGGCTGCATGCAGTGTATACTGTATTATAACAGCACCAAACCCTTTATAAAAACCAAATACTCCTTCCTCCTGCTTAATAGTGTTTATACAGTCTCTCATTCCCTCATACTGAGTATTAATTGGAAGTACTTCATAGCCAAGGTCTGTATTGTCAATTATTGTGCGTGTTCCTTGAATATGAAGGCGATGCAGAACGGTTTCCAATGGGTAAAGTATAACGTCAGAGCAAAGGCTGGCGGCAAAGTTAGCAATAAGTTCTGGAAAATAAGCATCCAGCATACTCTGCATGGGGCTAGTACTCTCAGCTAGGTGGCTATTATAGGTCTTTCTCTTCAGAATTAGGAGGACAATCTTCTGAATGATGGAGCTGATGATGTAATGAAGAACTCCATGCAGGACTGTCGGGAAGATCAGTGAGAGCAATGGAAGGAGGCGTTTGCTGTGAGGCACTCCCAAGCCTATTACTCTTCCAATCCCTTCTTTAATACATTCCAGGATGCCAGTATTATCTCGGATTATCTCACTCTGAAACAAAAATGATGAAAAAGGTACAATTTTATTTAAAAAAAAAAAAAAGATTTATTTTGTTTCATGTGTGTGGTTGTCCTGCCTGCGTGCACTGCCTACTGAGTCCAGAAGAGGTCATCGTATCTCCCGGAACTGCAGTGCTGAGAACTGAACTCTCCAGAAGAGCAAGTAGTCAGTGTATCTTTACCCTGAGCTCTCTCCAGGACCACCAACTTAACAGTTTTTAAAAATTGCCATCAAAAGAACTGTTATTAGGTCCCTTTGAGATAAATGTATTGACAAAGAAAGAAAACATCCATGATTTACTGACTTCAGCTATGAGATTAGATTAGTACTAGATTCATTTTTTCAAAGAAAATATCAAAAAGAGACAGCAATGAGCAGGACATGCTCCACCTGCAGTCTACTTACAATGACCTTCAGCTCCTCGCTCAACCACCCAAATAGCCACTTCCCACTTACTGTTCCAATGTCTATCCCAGTCCACAACTTGGTAAATTTAAGCCTAGTTTCTAAAACCAGTACCCTGGCCTAGGCCACCCCTGCCTGAAATTCAACCAGCCTCTAGGCTTCCGCCAGAACCCGCCCTACCTGCAACCACCTACAGGCACCTTCTGTGTCACGTCCAACCTACCCCACCCAGCCATACTTTGCACATCTTTCTCCAGAGTCTAGCCCCTGGAGGTCCCCTGACCTCCCCATCCACACTTTCTCCCCAGCTGGCCACATCTACGCGCAGGTCCCACATCCAATGTCCTAGCCTACTTTGGCCTGCCCTGCCTGCACAAGAAAAATATCCCTGGGCTTTGGGCAGGACCCTCTTTATCTATTCCCCCCACCCACAGGACCATTCAATACCATATGCAACCTTTTCAACTTCCATTCTCCAGACTCAGACCAGGAATCACATTCTGTACACCAGTCCGGTCCCTTCTGTCCCCAGCTCCACTCTACCCAAGCCATTTCCAACCTCTAGTCCAAACCTGCCCCCTACATCCTCTCTTTTAATTCAATCTACTCTGTCCATATCGGATTCAGAACTAAGGAAAGAAGCTCACATGACCAGATCTCATTGCAAAAAATCCCAATTACATGACAGATCAAGTCGGTATCTTCTCTCAAAAGCCTGCAGAAATGTTTGACAATGTGAATTACCTAGATAAACCCAAGGATACAAAATTTGAAAGAACAATCATAAAATTCATCAAAGATGAAACATTGAAACAGACAACACAAAGAAAATTCAGAACATTATAAATGATTGTCTAAAAAAAAAACTGTACTCCATTAAGCTGGAGACCCTAAAAGAAATGGATTAATTTCTAGATTTAGGTAAATCACTAAAATTAAACCAAGAAGTCAACAACCTAAACAGACCCTAACAAATGAGATTGAAATTGTAATAAAAAGCCTTCCAGCTAAAAACATCCCAGGATCAGATGGACTTGCAGCAGAATTCTACCAGACAATCAAAGAAAATCTACAGCCAGTCCTTCTTAAACCATTTAAAACAAAAACAAAAACAGGCCTACAAAGACACCATCACTAAATACAAACACCAGGTAAAGACAAAACAAAAAGAAAACTACAAGTCAATCTCCCTGAAGAACATAGGCTCAAAAATATTCAATAAAATACTTCTTAACAGGGCTGGAGAAATGGCTCAGTGGTTAAGAGCACTGGCTGCTCTTCCGAAGGTCCTGAGTTCAATTCCCAGCAACCACATGGTGGCTCACAACCATCTGTAATGAGATCTGGCGCCCTCTTCATGCAGGCAGAATGTTGTATACATAATAAATAAATAAAATCTTTTAAAAAAAAATACTTCTTAACAGAATACATACATACATCAAAAAGATTACCCACTATACCATGTTGGCTTTATCCCTCAAATGCAGGGATGGTTCAACATAAGCAAGTAAATAAATAATGTACTAAACCACATAAATAGACTTACAAACAAAAATCACATCATCATCTCAAAAGATTCAGACAAGCCTTTGAAGAAAATCCAACATGCCTTCATTATAAAAGTTCTAGAGAATGTAGAGCTAGAAAGAACAAACCTCAACACAATAAAAGTTATTTACAAGAAATGTGCAGCCACTATTTTCCTAAATTGAGAAATGCTTGAAGCAATCCCATTGAAGTCAAGAACTAGACAGGGATGTCCACTATTCCCAATCCTTTTCAACATTGTGCTTGAAGTACTAGTTGGAGCAAATTGTCAGAGAGTTGGGGAGCAATAGAGGGAGAAAAGCAGAGTACAGGTGACCTAATTAGGGAAATGGGAAAGGAGGGCTCTACAGGGAAGGGGTAGGGAGGTGAATTCAGAAAAAAGCGGGAGAAGGGTACAGGTGGTCTGGTCATGGAAACAGGAAAGGGCTATTTAGGAAAAGAGGAAAGTACACTCAGAAAAGGAAGGAGGGAGGGGTTAAAATAATAATAAGGACATCTGAAAATATTATAAGGAATTATACTATCAATTATATTTTTAAAAAATATATAATACATGGAATTCTGTGTATAATATACATATATAGTTTAAATAAACTTTTCTCATTTACCTCCAATAACCAAAGACCACCTAGCAGAAACCCCAATACTAGACTGAGCTCTCTTTTGAGATGTTGGCCAGGATTGTCGAAGAAACTCTCAAAACATACAGCCTATTGCTATTGCCCTAAATTACCCCCCAAAGTGGGAAGGTAATCCCTATTGCTGAAGATTTCATGCACTTCAGAAACAGGGCCCAGAGACCCCTGATCTGGAATTGGTCTGAATAACTCTTCCTGGAAGAGTAGCTTTCATGGTACTACAAGTAGCCATACAAATTGCCTAAGGAGGGAAGCAACCAACAGTCCAACTCAGCTATGCTGGATAAGAACCACAACAACAAGCATGGCAAGATTACCTTAAGGGCGCAGTAGTGGCATACATTCCTTGGTGTAACCAATAGCTCTCTAATTGGACTTAAGACCTAGCAAAAGGGAAAAAGTATCTAGAGCTAGAAACCTAGCTAACTACTCCATGTTATAAAGTCATGGATCTTGTAACAGAAACTACAAAGCCACTTTACTAAACCAGCATAATAACTAAAAACAATCCAAACATTTGTCCTTACCCATAGATAAGTCAATCATTAACAAAGAAACTACCTTTTGCAACATATGGAGACCATTACAGAAAATTATAACAAATCAAAATACAAGAGTTGTGGATCAGTCCCACGGATTACGAACCACTCCTACACCTAAGGTTCAGCGAAAATTGCAGAAGGGGTGAAAGATTGTAAAAGGCAGAGGACCAGTGATTTTGCTAAAAAATTGTGACTCCTGGTAATGTCAGAAGCTACAGCCATCAAGTCTAACCAACATGACTAAACATGAGCTGAACAAGGATAACAGCAACAGAAATGATAAAGTGGACGGGAAAGAGTTCATGAGGCTCGACCCTACACAAAAAAACAACAGGCGGGGCTGGAGAGATGGCTCAGAGGTTAAGAGCATTGCCTGCTCTTCCAAAGGTCCTGAGTTCAATTCCCAGAAACCACATGGTGGCTCACAACCATCTGTAATGAGGTCTGGTGCCCTCTTCTGGCCTGCAGGCATACACACAGAAAGAATATTGTATACATAGTAAATAAATAAAAATTTTGAAAAAAAAAAACAGGCAACAAAGAAACACTGAGAGCGGGAGAAATAGTCTTCTCCAAGAAAGAGCACACCAACTGGTTCTCCAATACCAAATGGTCAGCACTGAAAACACACATATGAGTATCATTATATAGACTGAGCAGGTTATATTTAGGAATATATGTCTATACATACACAAAAATGAATGTAACAGCAAATAAAGGAGTTCATGAAAGAAGCAAAAGGGGATATATGGGAGAGTTTGGAGAGAAGGGAAGAGGAAAATGGTGTGATTATAATATATTCTCAAAAATAACAGAAAAGAAAAAGAAAAGACAGCAATAAAGTAAAAAGCTATTCTTGTGGGGAACCGAGATACAACAAGGGGGTGGAAAGTCTGACTCATCTGTTTTATGCAAACTCCTCAAAACACTCAGAAGCATAGCATGTGAAAAGGCAACGGAGGATGTTGAAATATCACTGATGTATGGTTTTAAATCCTGTCTCCTTAACTTACTGCTGTGTAACAACTGTTACTATATTTAGCATCTCCTAAGCATCAGTTCAGCATTCTATAAAAATGGAAGATGGTATAACCTATCATTTATATGGTTGTTCTGTAATAGCTTCCTCCAAGATTGAAACATTCCATCCTAGGGAAAGCTCCTAAAAACAGGAAGGTACACAAATCAAAATAGCTTCAGGAAGTCCCTGAAACTGACCAAATTCATTAGACCCCTTCCTGCCAGAGTAAGCAATAAAACCTGAGAATCATTCTCAGAGAAGTAGAGTTGAACTGCAAAGACTCTCAGACAAGCTAAACTGCAGAGAAGAGTCTCAGATACTACAAGCTACAAAAAAGGCTGTGAGCCCAGAGCAGCTGCATGAAAGAAGCAGAAACAGCCAAGTTGCCTAGAAGAGGTTTAGACCGGGTCGTTTGGAAAGGACACTCTCCAACCTATTGAGCTGCCTGCAGGCTATGTACTGTGCTCCAGGTTCCCGGCTTTGTAAGCTGTCACCACACTACATCTCTTTGATGTAGCTATCTTTGTGTCATTTCTGCTACTGTAAATAACCCATCAACTATACTCTAGTAACTCCAATAAAACTCATTGGTTCACCAAGGTGGGCTTTGGTGGTATCTGTAGTTTGGTCTGTCGTGGACTTCCTATCTAGGGTAAGTTACATCTCTCCAATAAAAGCTTTGTCATATTAAATAAAAGAGGCCTGGTACTCAGTACATATTCAATAAATGTTAAGACTAATATCGCCTGAAATGTCTGCCTTTTCATAATGTTCGTTAAGAACAGAATGTTTATGATACAAACAATAGAGTTCTAGAGAGTCAAAAACAGAAGAGCTAAAACATCAATATAGCTGCAGCAACAGTCACAGAAGAATAGAATATGAAATTAAAAATGGCAGACAATGGCTATAAGATGTTTTAGATCAGGATATAATCTTTGGCTTCTAGTCATATGGGAAATAACTGCTTAATTTAAAGCAAAAGAACAAACTGGTGCAATTTAAGCTTTAAAATAACACTGCCTGTTGTGCCTAGAGTAACAAAAGCAGACGGTAAGTGTGATACATGATAAAGTTCCTGTGACTCCCCAGTGAAGAGGCAGTGGGGCTGGCCTAGAAGGCAGCAGTGCAAGCCAATCAATCCAGTTGTGCTGCTAAGAGCAGAGTTACGGAAACTACTGCTGGACTACATTTGTGTGTCATCAAAGAAACAAGGCAGAATGGCCAAGGGGCTGGAGATGCAGCTCGGCTGGTAAAGGCCTTAGCTAGCACGCTAAGGTCCTCGTTAGATCTCCAGTACCACATAAACCCAGGTGTGGCCGCAAATCCCTGCAGTCACAGCACTAGGGAGATAGACACTGGAGGTTCAGAAATTCATGGCTACCCTGGACCATCTTAACGAGTTTTTCAGGCCAGCCTGGGGTACACAAAAACTTGTCTCATGCAAGGCTGTTGGTGAGAGACACTAGCAAGCTAAGTGAAAGGCGCTGCTTTGCTGAGTCAAGGAACACTGCAGGGTTGACATTCTGAGAGGAAAGACTAAAATTCATAAATCTTGGCATCAGTAAGATGCTAAGCCAGATTATAAGAATAAGATCCAAGCTAGACACAAACTAGAAGTCTTCACAAAACAACTATTATTTTGAAACCTTGAGGCTAAAATAAGTTCACCTGACTGATTAGCCCAGTTTGCTGCCCCTAACTATGGCCCCTTTCCTATGTGATTTTTTTTTTCCAATGTCATCAGCCAAAGTGATTCTAATAAAGATAAGAATCAGATTAATCACTGTTCTGCTCAAATCCACATCTCTTTGATGTAAGACTGAATGCTTACATTAGTTATTACAATGTGTATCATGATGGGGCCCTCTTACTCCTCTAAAGTAATCAACTATTTTCTCTCGTTTATGCAGAGCCAGTCCTCGCAACTCATCAAACCAGGTGATACAATCTCACCTAAAGGTCTTTGCATTTGCTTTCCCTCTGCTCAAAATATTCTTCAAAATAATCATGCCTTTCTTAGCCTTAGACCTTTGCTCATTGAGGCTTTGCCTGATCTTCTGTCACAAATATTAATTGTCCCTCCCTACCCACAACACCTCACCCTCGCTCTGCTCTCTTTAACACAACTTTTCTCACAGATAGAGATGTGTCTTGTTTATGTCTAACTTCCCCACAGGCTTTTAAGTTCTACAGAAGTGGAGGATTTTTGTCAGTATCATTTGCTAATGTATTATACAAGTCTATGACCCTCTCTGATACAGGTTGTTTCTCAATAAATATTTGATGAATTAAGAAAAATAAATTTAAAAAAGATAGAAGAGAGAAGTCAATAAAAACTTTGATACAACACTATTCTGAGAAGTCTGAAATTGATCTTGGGGAATCAACATGGGCCCTTATTTTAGTAAAGGGACATAACTACTGTAACTTAAACACTATAAACTTTCAAGTGCATATAGACAGAACTCAAGGATACTGGATACTGGATTGATCATCGGGAAGTAGTTCTCATTCAAGCATTTTAAACAGTGATTCTTCTGGTGATCTACATATCTCCAAAAAAAAAAAAGTTCTCTAAGAGGTCAAGGGTTCCCTACAAGGGCACAGGAGCACAGATGATTCATTCGGTAATGAGCAAAAGAAGCGGGAAGAGTGAGGTCCCCTGGTTAGGAGAAGGGACAGTCTTAGATGCCTGCTGATTCTCCAAAGGCATGATAGCCTATTAGTTATGCAGAATCAAAGCCAAAAAACAAAACCCCTAAAACTAGAGTTTAGAAGATAGCAAGTTAGTACAGATAGAAATGGGGGGAACTCCCTTTGAGGGTAACAAGGTTGCCTGAAGAAGCTGAGTCTGAGAGGAAGACTAGAATAGACAAGATTCACAGACATACAGAGCTTCCTAAGAGCTGAGAACAGATAAAAAGCAGGGAGGACCCAAGACTGAGACAGGTACAAGACAAGAAGTGATGGAAGAAAATGAGGCTACCGAAAGAAAGATGTTCATCAGGGCAGAAACCTGAGAAAAGAAAGAGAAGCTTGTCAATACAGACAAAGGGAGTGGAAAGGAAAGCAGGGCACTAACAAGTGAAACACCGAGGACACACACAAGTACAGCGTTAAACAGAGACAAGCAAAAACAGCACAGAGGAAAAGCTATTACTGCAATCTGGATATCTACATAAATATAGGAACTGAGTTATTAAATACTATTCCTATTCTGTGGAAGATAAAAATTGCAATTTAAAATAATTTTTAAAAATCTGTCTAAAGTCACAGTTCTAATTTAAACAGACAAATATGACTGTGGTGAGTCTGTGCCATGCTAAGGCCTCTTTCCTGATATAGCATGTTCCTTAGTTATTCTGCCTAAAGTTATTATCTTTCTGATAGTTTTTCTTATCTTTAAAGTGGGACTACCTCATAGACACCTAGCTCTGCAAAGTATACAGCACCACCACCACCCAAATGCAAGAGGACAGGCAAGTCTGTTTAGGTCATAAGACGTTAATTTCAGTTAACCAAAGTTAGTTCTAACAGCAACAGCAAAACCAGAAAGTAATGATGTAGTGGGGACAGCAAATTAAGAGAAAACAAAACAAAAATCAGAAAGGCGAGGCTGGCCCACAAGCACTTTATAGAGCAGGCACTGACACAGGTGGGGAACATATTCTTGAAGATCAGGTGCTGGCAACAGAAGACAGCTGTATAAACACTTTCATCTCAGTTTTAGCTGTAAAAGATGGTGAGGCTACGAAATTTAATTCAGTGTGCTTCAAGTGCCACCGTGTGGTTAGAAATAGTAAAACAAGCAAGCAGAATTTAAATGCTAACAGGAGACTGCTTAAGCTTTGTATTTATTGTACCAAAAATGTTCCATCAGAGGGATGTTTAAAAATAATGCTGTTAGTAAATTACCTATAGGTACTACCTTATGCCCAGATAATTATTAATGAACTTGCTATGATACTCCATAAGCATTTTAAATTGTTCTTGCCCCTTGAAAGAGAGTTATATATTCAGAACAAGTCATAGCTTGGGTTCTAAGATACCTGAATGAAGACTGTATGGGAAGGAGAAAAATAATTAAAACTGTGTGACCCAAATTTACAATGGAAATATTACACCAGTGGTAATGTATGATAAATACATGTATCTGTGAAATAAACATTTAAAATCAGACATGCGCAGTATATTCTAAAGGTACTTAACAAAAGTTACAAGAACAGCTCACCTGTACTGTTTCAATCAGACTTGCTGAATAAAAAGGCATGGCCACCATATATGTTAGGCTGCAGAAATAAACCAAACTTTATCAGTACAACAAAGTAAATTATAATGAAATTTTAAGATCTGTGTTAATGTATTCACCTAATATACATTCAAACCCAAAATGATCTTGATAAATTTTCTACTATACTTTGGACCTAGTGATAGTAACTCAGAATGCTGAAACACAGAGTACTTTAATGAATAGAAATGGAAATTAAAAAGTAATAATAATAAAGACAATCTGCCCCAAAAAAAAAACCTAGATTATAGATTATACCTTCAGCAGAATGCAGACTCATTTATGATTAACTATATGGACGTCAACCCGCTCTTCCTAGTGCTGCCTCTGTTTCTGAACCTTTTGGATGAAGAACTGTTCCACAGTCTGGTGTTTTACTAATATCTGAACAAGAATAATTTTTGCTATTCCCTTATTATCACGTTCTATGTCTACATTTCCCATCAGCAGACTAAGCCAGCTTTTAACTATGAACCAAGTTCCCTGTTATTATGGAAAATAAGATTGTACAGCTTTCCAAAGTTGTTTCCTCATCAATATTGTAACATTACTGCTTTGCAAGTCTGCAAAGTATAGTTATTAAAAATAATTTCAAGGATGGGACTAAGCTAACAACATCCTTAGGGGCCAGGTCCTCATAAGTACTGGCCTCCCAGACAAATGGAATATCAGCTATGTGCTAGACTGCCCCACAGAGGGAGCCAGCAAGCTAGAGGAATTTCCAATTCACAATCTTAAAAAATAAAATAAAATAAACTTCTAATATGTAAAAATAGTCACTGAGTAAAATCACTTTAGACTATAACGTGACTATCGTTTTGAGTTTGCTCTTCACCACATACATTCATATCTCTGACTAACAGCAAGACAAAGGTTTAGTATCCCTTCTATCAGAAATCCTGGATCAAATGTGTTTCAGATTTGGGGAAATTTGCATATAACTAGAGATCTTGAGGATGAGAACCAAGTTTAGATACAAAGTTAAATTATTCGTTATACTCATTTACCAGCAAAGCTTGACTGTGTTTTTATGTAATATTTTCTGTGTGGCTAGATTCTAACAGCCCACCCCTAATTAAATAGGATCAGGTTAGAGAGATTCAACACATTTGACATGTGTTGGTGTTCAAATTCTTCTGATTTTGATGTATTTTGGATTTCAGATGTTTGGCTTAGGGATGTTCAACACATAGTAGTAATTTTTATATACCTATCTATCTACCTACCTACCTACCTATTTATCTATCTACCAATGTATCTACCTATCTATCTATTTATCTATCTACCTATGTATCTACCTACCTACATCTATCTGTCTGTCTATCTATCTATCTGTTTTTAAGCTGGGTCAAGGGACTGGGGAGATCTCAGCTGATGAAGTGCTTGCCATGGAAGCATGAGGACCCAAGTTTGATCCCAAGCATCCATGTATAAAGTTGGGCATAGTGGCATGCCCTTGCAATATCAGAGCTAGGTAGGTAGAAACAGGTATATCCCTGAGGCTTGCTTGCTGCCCAGCCTAATCAGTAACCCAGACTGCACTCCAACTGATAATCCAATATCAAATGATCATCCCTAAAAACATATACATACAGTAACATTATGTGGATTGAGAAAGCTGTATGTGTGTATGTAGCAATTTATCTTTGATTTTTCTATAATTGTTGTTACTTAGTGTATGTGTGTATTACTACTATTACACCAAGTAGCAACAGTTAAAGAAAAAAGGCAATAAATTTGAATAAGATCAAGGCAAGACTTACATGGGAAGAGTTGGGGAAAACGGAAGGGGAGAAATGATATAACTATATTATAATCATAAAAAAAAAAACACCTTAAAACAAAAACAAAAACCAAGGTTGATGGCTCCTCAGGAAACTCTGGCCTCCACGTTCACACAGTGCACCCAAACACATAGACCCACCCCATCCCACCCTCAAAATTGAATAAAATAAAAAGTAACTTAAACAAAAGTAAGAAGTTGAACCATGACTTTTACCTTTCAAATGCCTAAGAATCATTTTAAACAGCATGTGTATTTCAGGATCTTAGCCCAAAACCTTGATACTTATTCTGTAAAGGTCTATTCCTATTACTCTAGCTTTTTTTACTATATTATGAGTAAGGTTTGTTTCAGTTCTAACACTAAGAAAGCTAATGGAACGTTCTGCTAACAATGTCATTGCAAAACTTACCATTTCAGAAGAAGGTGTTCACCTATTAGTTTAGGATTCCATTTGTGTGAAACTTCCCTAAAATGTAAAAATAAATGTAAATAAAACAAAATTGTGTGTTATTTTAAATATTTTTAAGTTAATGTTTTGAGGTTTGGAGGGCTATTGTTGTTGTTGTTTTTATTTTTTCAAGACAGGGTTTCTCTGTATAATAGTCCTGGCTATCCTGGAACTCGCTCTGTAGACCAGGCTGGCCTCAAACTCACAGAGATTCGCCTGCCTATGCTTCCCTGAGTGCTGGGATTAAAAGCATGCGCTACCACTGCCCAATTCTAAACAGTAATAAATTTCTGTTTTGTTTCAGTCTTTAGGAAGGATGTTCCTTCTGGACATAATCTGACACGTGTGGTGGTTTAAATGGAGACAAGCGACTGTGTCTGCAGCAGAGAAGACTGCAGGGAAAAGCTGTGACTGGCTGCATGGTGGCTACTGCTGTGTGACAGATGAGAAGGCCTAGGAGACACACCCCCAGGCATGTCTGTGAGAAAGCTTCAAGCCTGGGTGGATTCATGGGTTAGGATCTGGACAGAATGAAAAAGAGGAAGTTAGCTGAGCACCAGCATGCACATCCTGCTTACTATAAAACACAGGGTAGTGTTCTGTATCAGAAATGTGTAGGACCAGATGTGTCCCAGACAGATGGGCTGTTTTTTCTGGGAAGTACCGTTTTTCTCTGGGTAATACGACTACTTTGATAACTGGTCTTGTGGCTCTGGGCCTATGGAACAGGTCTGTCAATTCCAATTTCCCCCTTCATCTCTCTCCTCATAGCCAATTTTCTACTTTCAATTGTTTGCCTATGGCTCTGACACTTACGTTTCAGAAGCCAAACCACAAATATTGTCATTGCAGATACTGAATTTTTACCACACTACTAAACTGAATGCCTACACTTTGTTAACTTTTTTAAAGATCTGTTTTGGCGGAAGCCTCAAAAACAAAAGATCTGGTAATATCTATACTTTCATGTGACATAAAAGTTGTAACAGATATAAAGTTAGCCCAGCATAGAAACTCAATTCTTAGAGTATGAGTAGAAAACTTTTAGCTAGCCATATGTTCCTCACTTTTAGCAAAGCTGTATTGATAAAGGAGTTTGAGAATACACAGTTCCTTGACAGCAAATACATTAGAAAAAGTTTGCTCTCAGCCTCTTGCCTTCATTTCCTTCCCTTACAAACATATCCCAACACTGAGTACACGTGTAATACTAGTGGTTAGACTTTCAACTGACTCACTTTCTTAATAATGCAAAATAATGTATCCTAAGGATTAACTTTAGATAAATGAACAAGAACTATTCAAAGGCTTTAACACTATCCATGAGTTCTTGCAGAAGAATATAGTACTTGAAACAGAAAATTGGCCATGCCAGAGTTGCCAACAAATTACAATCTCTCACTACTGTCTACCATATCTTTGCTGTAGATATACCTTGTTGCCAACTGCCATTACATAGGACACTATCAGTCTCTCAAAGCTTTCTACAAGGCCAGTGCTGGGCTGGAGAGATGGCTCAGAGGTTAAGAGCACTAGCTGCTCTTCCAGAGGTACTAAGTTCAATTCCCAGCAACCACATGGTGGCTTACAAGGCCAGTGCTACCTTTCCTGCAACAAGTTTTGGCTGAATTTGACTCAGAAAAAACTCAACATATTTCCCTAACTTTATCTACCTGCTCTCTCCCAGTGTATCTATAATTGAAGTTTACAACCTTTGACTTCTAGAAACTATGTCATGAATCTTAGCACTGATTCTGTTTTGATGGTATCACAAACTTCAATTACTGCTCACCACCCCCATAAGCCCACATATGACACAGATATGCTGATGTACAAGTGGTCCAGGATTCTTCCCTTGTCACATTTCAGAACTGTGGTCTACAATTCTCCACTAATTGAATTTCACTGAGTCTCAATTCTGAATAACATTTTATGCACAATACTCAAAGCTATGTCTTTACTTAAATAATTTCTGCAGCATCCTGATCCACAGTTCCAATCACTTTTTAGTCATGTCTCCCTGTGGTCGTTTAGTTGAGAATGGTCCTCACAGGCTGATATATTTGAGGATTAGGAGGTGTGACCTTTGAGAAGGAGGTCTGTCACTGGATGTGGGTTTGAGGCTTCTAAAACCCTTACCATTTCCAGTTAGCTTGATCTCGTGCACTCGTCTCTCTCTCTCTCTCTCTCTCTCTCTCTCTCTCTCTCTCTCTCTCTCTCTGCTGCAAACTTGTGCACCAGATGTAAGCTCTCAGCTACAGTGCCGTGCCTGCCTGACTGGCAATGCTCTTGCCATGATGGCCACAGACTCTACTACCCTCTGAAGCTAAATCCCAAACTAAATGCCTTCTTTTGTAAGTTGCCTTGGTCATGTTGTCTCTTCACAGTAATATAAAAGTAACTAAAACAACCCCTACAGGTCTGACAAAAATTTCAAACTCCATTTATTGAAAGTTACGTTTCTTATCTCCTTTATTCTTACTGAATTCTCCACCTTGGTTAGCATTCCCATTTTAAAAAAAAAAAATCTCACTTCCTGATACTCCCATTTCCAACCTAAAAGCAGCTACAGCTACACATGTAGTGTGTATTCCTAACTCAGCACTTTCTGTTCTGTTCCACAACTCAGAATGCCCCAGTGTGGTTAGAATTAACGCACAGCTCTCTACAAGCCAGTCTGAAGCAATACTCTCATATTACCTCTTGGGAATATCCTTGATCAAAGCACGTCAAGAACAGATAAAACGTTTGATTGCAGGCCCACAGAGAATAGCCATTACAAAAACACAGTCATGGAGGGAGGAGAGGCTTTGAGTTGGATATGACCTAGATACTTGTATACACATACAAATTATCAAAGAATAAATAAAAAAAAACATTTAAAAGACATGCCCATACTTTAGCATCTCTGCTTCTTTTCATTCCCAAGCACAAGCTGCTTCTTTTTGTCGCCGAGATTGTCTTAAGTTCCATGAGACCGACCAGGTATACTGGCACCTTTTTTTGGAAGGAGCTCCTTTTCTGCTAGGTCAGTTCTTACTCTAATTCAGACTCTATCTCAATTTTCAGTTATTTTTTTAATACATGCCAGTAACTCCAGGTTAGTATCCTGGTAATCTGAAAGGGGCTTATTTAACTATGGCACAAATCACACCACGCACTATATCAGATGAGCTACTTAAAGAGGTTGTAACATATTCCTGTTTGCCACTTGGCAACAACAGTTAGGAAGGAAAGACACTAGGACATGGAAGTCCCTATCCCACCCTCACTCCGCAAGGTGTAACTAATAGAGCAGCTTGACTGTCCTTCTTCTCTGTGCTTTCTCAGACACATTTTCAGATTCAAGATATTGGCTTCCATATTTGATTATAAAACTAAGATGAAAAAAGGCCACACATGTACCTTGGTAAAGGTGTAAATTCACTAATTATGCCTTCTGCTCCAAGTGTGACTCCCTGGACAATAAATGTGCTTCCCATTCCTTTCCATAGGGCTCGTGGTCCCTAAAATCAAAACAAAAACAATAAAAATAGTTCTGTTAATGCCTAAACATGAAACATAAAACTTCTTAATGAAACTTAACATTGAAGGTTTACTGATATTTCCTAATATGTTATTACTCTAATATAAATCTTACCGAACTGTAGCTAAAATCTAATAGTGGTAGATTTCTACCACTTTGTTCTTGTTCTACTGAGGCACACTCACACATAACCCATGCTGGCCTCAAATTCCTATGTAGTAGCTCAGGTTCACCTTGAACTCTTGATCCTCCTTCCTCAACCTCCCAAGTCCCAGGAACCCAAGTCATAAGCCTGTGGCACTATGGTAGCCTCAACTGTTAATGTTTCATGGTAGCTTAGTTTAGACCCAGATGAATACTCCATTTAATTAGGTGCTCCAAAATGACCTATTAAAAAGCTCAGGTATCTCTATATTCAACTCCCTACTAGTCCAGCTATTCCTACGACCTACAGCTATCTCAAATTGTGTACATCCCCGACTTCACTGAACCATACCCATTAGCACCATTTCTTTTCCTTCTTTCTTGTAGTTCCTATTTCCCTTAATAGCTCCTTCAGACTTATGTCCAAATCATGTTTCTCATTCCTCCTATCTAATCAACCAAAGTTCTATAAGTTCTCTCAGATTCTTATAAATTTATGTTCTTTCCACCATTCTTACATTATTACTTATATACATCTAATACTACAAGAGTTCACTGTTTCTACTATAATAACAGCAGTGGTGTTATTACTATCATTATTTATCTATGAGCGAGAAAATAAAATATCAATACTGTAATATCAGATGCAGCAATATAGTACCAGGAGAAAAATGTGTTTCTATTTCATCCTAGCCCCTTAGCAGAGGCTTTTATCTTCCAGTCTCCAGAGACAGCTCAGCATGGAACAGATATCTGTGTGCATGCAAAGATGTACAATTTTCTGGTTTGTTCATTTTTAACAGATATATCTTGAAACATAAAAAACAACCCAGTACACACAGAGTAGTTTCTTATCTGTAAAGGCCACCTGGTGTTTTACCACATGAATGTATCATCGTTGTTTTAGTGGTATCCTCTTGCTAGATATTATAATTTCTTGGTTCATTATTATGAACGATATGAACCATATTATGAACATTATTACCAGAATATGACATCCTTGATAGATAATTTTTTTTGGGGGGAGGGGTTCCGAGACAGGGTTTCTCTGTAGCTTTGGAGCCTGTCCTGGAACTAGCTCCTATAGACTAGGCTGGCCTCAAACTCACAGAGATCCACCTGCTTCTGCCTCCTGAGTGCTAGAATTAAAGGCATGCGCCACCACCACCCGGCCTGGTACACTATACTACATATGTATATAAACATTTATGTAGAAAAGTTCCTAGAATTCAAATATATAAATTCCAAATTTGATGCAAACAATCCACTGGTTCGCAATGCTACTGTCACTCTAAACATGTTCAGTGGTTCTCTTCTGGGTTTTAGAATAAAGTGTGCAGGCCATGGAAGGCCCTTTATGATGCTGTTACTTCTCTGGCTCTTTTTTCATCTTCCTCTCACCCTCCACCTCTGCTACAAGGTACTATTTACTGCATAATACCTGGTACCCAAACTTACAACCTCTTTTCCTTTTGCCTTTGAACGTCAACACATGAAACCTTTGCCCTCAGCTGTAAGAAGCAGACTTTCTGACAAGTGAACATACAAGCATGCGAGACAGTGTCTCTTCTCAACAGCTGTCCCTCGTCATACCCTGTGATCAGCCCCAGCTGTGGCAGCCAATCTTCACTGTAGACAGATGAGAAATACTTCACCGAGGAGGAAGACCCACCCTAAAAATTGGCAGCATCATTTCTTTATCATCGAGAGCTAAAGAAAGGCCAAAAAAGTTAAGTGTCTGCACTTATGTTTCTCTGCCTCCCGATTATGGACCAAATGTGGTCAACTATGTTGTGCCCAGGAGGCATGTTATCATGTTTTAAATTTTGAGTCAAAATAAACCCTTCGGATCTCTGTGAGTTCGAGACTAGCCTGGTCTACAAGAGCTAGTTCCAGGACAGGCTCCAAAACCACAGAGAAACCCCGTCTCGAAAAACCAAAAAAAATAAAATAAAATAAAAAAATAAAATAAACCCTTCCTTCCTTATATGTTTCTGTCAGGTGTTTTGTTACAGCAATGAGAAGACTAATGAAGAGCTATGACGATGCCTCTCATCTATATGCTAATCAGGACTTTCTCATTCTAGTACTGGACCACAATCTTCTGCTGACATTTCTGTCTCTGTGACCAACTGTAACTCTCTTGATTGTATAATATTACCTTCTCTGCTGCTAAATTCTTGGAACTTAGCATAGTTCTTTGCAATTTTGTTGAATGAAGTAAAATTCTGGAAGACTCAAAGGAGGATTTTTTTTTTTTCTGAGACAGGGTTTCTCTGAGTAGCCCTGGGTGTCCTGGAACTCACTCTGTAAACCAGGCTGGTCTCAAACTCAGATATCCACCTGCCTCTGCCTCCCAAGTGCTGGAATCAATGACATGTGCCACCACCGCCTTGTCTCAAAGTAGAATTCTTACTTTAATGCTTAACAAGCTTAAATACACAGCTTTAATGGAATAGGTTCTCACCTGCGTTTTGTTGAAGCTGTACATAATGTTGATGATTGTGAATGGAGTGAGATGGTAGTGCCGAGCATGGTAATTCACCTGTAAGGACAGACAGCATCTTTTCTGTTTTGTCAAGAAATAGTAAGTCATGAAAATCTAAAGAGCAGATTAAACAACAAATAAACCATTTCAAGTTAGCATATGGCAATATAAATGCAACATGCCGACTACCACATAAAATGCCTAGTAATGAAGATATGAAGAGGATCTTGCTGTCTGACAAGTGAGGTTTTTAAGCTCTGAAATTAAATCTCATACTCATTTTGGCCAAGCATTTTTTTAAGCTATGGCTTACAAAAAATAGACAAATCATAAATCAGCCAAATGTGTCAAAATGATGCAATACTAAATCATAATGTAGTTACCACCACAATTTAAATATATGCAGATCAATCTTACTGTTCTAGGGCATCTGCTATTCAGGTAATTATTTCTCTATGCATTCCTATTTTTCCGTGACAAGTATAAACAGATTAATTTATACTAATTTATATTATCTTTTTTTTAATTTTTTATTGAGAAAAAGAAAAAGTTTCCGCCTCCTCCCAGCTTCCCATTTCCCTCCCCCTCCTCCCACCCTTCTCCCTCTTCCCCCACCCTCCTCCCCCTTCCTAATTTATATTATCTTAATGTTATGTGGGGAGATGATCTGGCAAAGAACTAAAATTACATAACAGGACCTGCTACTATGCAGGCCAGTAACTGCTGGGCGCTCCATTACCTCACCAGGGCCTAACGAGTTCAAAGATTTTACTCAGGCACCGTTTGCCTTTTTCGTGTACTGACAGCATGCTATGGGTATAACAAGGGTGAATAAACTGCTGATTCTCTACCATGAGTCGAAGCAGTAGCATCAGTTGTATTTCTCAGTGATATTCTTCACATCGGTACTCACAGGAAGGAAAAGCAATCTCCATCTGAGAGTGTCCTTGGTGAAGCAGTACAAAGGGTAATTATATGAAGCTGATCTATAAGTACACAGCACCTTTCTAATTAACATTCTGTGTGTTCCCTAAAGAAGACAGCTGTCATGAAGGAAAATTCTTACATGATGCATTGCAACCTACTTAGCCACTTTTTATCACAGAACATCATTTTTTTCCTTTTTAAAAATACCCTGTCAAACTTTTACTTTCATACAAATTATTACCTTCACACTTGAAACATACATCTTCCCCTTGCAGTAATGATACTTAAACCTAGGGCCAAGTATGTGCTCAGCTACTCAACTATATACTCAGACCAAATATGTACTTGTAAATTATCAAAGTGAGCTTGTGTGTTGTTGTTGCTGCTGCTGCTGCTGTTGTTGTTATTCTTTGGTGGTGGTTTTTGTTGGTGGTGATTGAAAAAGAAGAAGATCCTCAGAGTGTTTGTTTTCAACTTTTTTCCAAGTACAAATGGGAAACACCTTAGTAAGATTTAGAATGTTGTTCTGGGCAAGGAACACATAGGAACTACACTTTAAAATCCTGGTGAAGGCTAGGGCCTTCTGCAAAGGACACCAATAACTTTGGAATAGTAATGAGAAATGACAAACAGGACCACATAAATTAAAAAGCTTCTTTCAGCAAAGTAAACAAAGAGCCCACAGAATGTGAGCCATCTGACAGGGAACTAACTATCTAGAATATATACAGAACTAAAAAGATTAAACGCCAAAACCCCCAATAATCCAAGCAGTAAGTAGGCAAAGGAAATATTACCATTAGCCAAAAAGATTAAACACCATTATATATCAGAGAAATGTAAATCAAAACCATACTGAGATTCCATCTCAACCCTACTGTAAAGGCTATCACCAAGAAAACAAACAAAAGCAAATGCAGGTGACTATGCGAGGAAAAAGAATTCTCCTTCAGCACAGTCACTGTGGGAATCTCTGTAGAGGTCCTTCATGGAAACTAAAACCAGAGCTACTGCCTCTTCAGGTGTACGCTGGATTATAGCAGATGGACCGTAGTCAGCAGACACGGAGACACCTCAGCAGCCTTTCCTTATTCCACTAGTCACAGAAACCAGCTTATGGAATCAGACTAGACACACACACATCACACCCATGCACATGCACATACATACACATACACACACACACACACACACACACACACACACACACACATTATTATTATTATGCAGCCACAAAGAAAAATACATTGGAAGAAACTAGAGATCTGATTACAAGTAAACCAGACTCAGACAAACAACAGACATTTTCTCATTTGTAGAATATAGGATGCTCTGTAAATTAAAGAAAAAATAACGAAATAAAAAACATGAAAGCAGGAAGTGCACTTTTGGGGAATAAAAAGTAAACCAGAAGAAGTTGGGTGGAAGGACAAGGGAAGGTAATGGGACAAGAAAAAAGAACATGACATATATGTATGAAAATGTCATAACTTTGTGTAATTATTTTGTATAATTAATACATTTTAATAAAACATAAAAAAAGAATTTAGGGGAATGTACATCTCATTAAGAATATATATTGATAAAAGACTTCTTGTGGGATCACTGGTGTTTTAGAATCTGAACACACAACTCAGTGAGTTAACATTTTTCAAATAACAAATATAGGGTGATTGAAAATCATGTGTGATATAAATTATAATACATTTGGATGCATTATAAATCAGTGTGAATTTTTGTTGTTGTTTTTTTTTTATGTAGCCTTGACTGTCTTAGGACTCGCTCTGCAGATCAGACTGGCCTCAAATTCAGAGATTTACCTGCCTCTGCCTCCTGGGATTGAAGGTGTGCCCAGCTCAATAGGAATCTTTTAATATAATGGAGTTTTAAAAAAAATAGGTTACTTGAGGTTTCACACTGCACACAAGACACCACCACTTAGTGAGTTCTGGAGTCGCATCAGAAGACACAGAAAAGAATAAACATAATCCTGTTTTCAAAGGCGTCCCGTGTAGGAGGCTGATCATTCCTGTTTCTCTTAAAACAACATTCTACGACAGAGTGACTGGAGAAGCAGATGTGAGGAGCTCACTCCTATTATGACAGACATTTGAGAAAAAACAACATAAATTTCTGCAAGGATTATTTGTTAATATCTGATGAGTGCATTATTATTTTAATGAGATCAGTATTATATTAGGTTTAATTTCTGAAATGATAAATCCTGGCAGAAATGACCCAAATAAGCAAAACATCTTCAGAGTTCTGATAACTTTTAAGATTTTTGAAGAAGTTTTAAGACTAAAAAGTTGGAGAACTGAAGTATTACAGATTTTGGGGCATTTCACATAGAATAATGGGTGTAAGATTTCATGTCATTTTATCGGAATTCTGTGCTTCTAGTTAGGATTAGGCTTATCTCAGAAGTCCAAAAGCTTATATTTACCTGACACTGGCGGCGTAAAACAATGCAAGGATGGGCCAGCACATTTTCTGTGAAGAGACTATGCAGAAATTATTTATATGTGAGTATAAATATAATGTTTACACACATTTTATTTATAATATACATATACCCAAGGTTATTCTTACATTTTTACAATTAAAGGAATTTAATATCTATACATCTGCAAATAATGCAAATAGCAAATTCAATATAAATAAAATTTAGATCCACAAACTTGTAAATATGTATTATCTATAGAGTACAAAGACGAAAATTGAGCTCCATAAGAAAAAGGTTAACCATTTAACTTCCCTCTCAGAAAATACTCTATGAACAAAATTCTCACATGAAAAGTCATTTGCTTTTCAAGATCCTCATTCCAGAATTTTTTATTTTGATATACTTGGTATTTAAGTTACAGGATTTTTAATGAACATGTTAATTACTACTTTATATATCAAATATTTCTTTTGAATATGTTCCCCCCAAAATAATTACAGTTGTGTATTTAAGTACTAATAGTGTGTGCATGTTTATATATATTATATGTGTGTATATTATAAGTATTAGAATATACATACATATTATATAAACTGGCATTAAGCTTTAAGAATAAAAATTAGGCTAAAAAAGATTAGCAAAATAGAAAATAGACTTTATCTATGCTGACACAAATATCCCTCAGTTTTTAATATGCAAATAAGGTCATTCTACCGGTTATCTAAAATGATAGCCATTTTGGTATGAAGGATAAGCAATGCACAAGTCCAATATTTCTGAATCTTCATAATACCATAAATAATACTGATGAATGTTATAATGACCATTATAAGCGACCATCAAATGGTAAATAAAAACAAAAATGAGTCTCTATGCTGCAAAACTACCTGGGTACCACTGCATGTTTAGAGAGCTGGCTTATCAATCACATCACTTTGAGGGGGAAGATTACATTCTATTCAATTCTGATAGAGTCATGAAAGTTACTACTATATTCATTACAAAATTTCTTTCTTCCTTCCTTCCTTCCTTCTTTCCTTCTACAATGAGATGACTGGTTCCTACTTCTACTAGAGAAAAATCAAGTTATGAATTCTTTCTTTTTGGCTTTTTTTAGGGGAGGAGGGGGCAGGTTTTTTTTAGACAGGGTTTCTCTGTGTAGCCCTAGCTGTCCTGAAACTCACTCTGTAGAGCAGACTAGCTTGGAGTTCAGAGTTCCATCTATCTGCCACTGCTTCCCGAGTGCTGGGATTAAAGGTGTACACCACCACTACCCAGCAAGTTATGGATTCTAAATAATCAAATCCTACAGAGTTAATAAAACCTAAAGGAAGAATGTTAATTACTTAATATTATAATAATTAAAGGCCAAACTCTAAATCAAAAAAAAAATTTAGAATAAACATTACCTTGCAAGTCCAATACCAAATCCAGCAAATCTATTCAACTGCTCTAAAATAAAAAGGATAAGATTACTTATAACCATTATTTATAACCAAAATATGTATAACCAAAATTTTAGAGTAACATGTTATTCATTTAAACATCAGAATATGATGTGGGATAGAGAGGTGATTTAACTAGTAAGTGACTGGCGGCGCTGTGGCAAGTTCCACGGAACGTACCTCTTACCGGAGCAATTCTGTCTTTCATTCCAACGGACTATTGCCATAAGGACTTGTACGCTGGGACATTTCTAAGTTGTGACTATTTTAAATGATAAAACCTTGAAAGTTTAAATATTATCAAAGGCAACTCTCTGAAAAAGTGTTAAAGCCCTGTAAGGACTATGTCAAATTTGTATACGATGGAATCTAAGCATTGTCAGCTTTAATTTCTGATTACAATCATTCCAAAATTCTCTATGGGTGGCCATGACTGATACACTAAGAAACTGACTACTTACTCTGTACAATCAGTCATCTGCTCTTACTAAGGGACAATAGTTGTATGTAAAATACCTGAAAATTGTTATTTTGAGAGTACTGGTGCTATCAGTATAGGTTAGGTATAGCTTCTCCCTATGCCCTTCCATTGGAAAGAGCTGACGAACATTTGCTTGATCCAGTCTAAGTGGCAGGACCCTAGGTACACATGTGCTCCCTTCTACAGCCCTGCAGGAAAGGTAACGGCTGAAAACTCCTATGCACTGCCAGAATAGAAGTCTTCCTCCTGAATAACCCTAACAGTGACCTAGACAGGGAGTAGACATGAAATAGCAACATTCACAAGAGACAGTCTCTCTCTTCTGTCATTTCAAATGAAGCGATGAACTTTATCACGTGAATATTCTTATAAGAATAGGCCATGGAAGCATGTTCCTGGGGAAACCACATGCTTCACCCAGAAAGATGTACAATGTAGTGATGTTTCATTTGTATTTTAATAAATAAAGCTTGCCTGAAGATCAGAGAATAGAACAGCCACTCTGGTCAGCCTTACAGACCAGGCAGTGGTGACACACACCTTTAGTCCCAGAGCCACACTAGTTTGTCATAGAAACTGGCAGTAGTGATGCATGCCTTTAATCCCAGCCCTAGAGAGGAATATAAAATGGGAGGAGACAGCTCTCAGATACAGTCTCATTCTGAGATTCCTGGAGGCAGGATTGCCATTGTGAACTGAGGTAGAGAGGTAAGAGCCAGTAGCTGGCTGTTTTGCTTTTCTGACCTTCAGGTTGAACCCCAATTTCGGTCTCTGGGTTTTTATTAATTATGCTACAGTACAAGCTAGAAAGCTTCTTGTCATACTGAAGTACTTTCTTTTGGGTGCTTATTTATAATTCCCAAATACTAAAGTAAACATGACCTTTATGAAGAGTTTTAGGAAGACTTAATGCTGTCAACTATGTGAGGCTCTACTTGCTGCAAAGTTTTACTCAATTACTTGGTAACAACTTCAAAATAAACTGGTTGTGTTAGCAAGTTTCCCCTCACTGGAACTATCAAAATGTAATTTAAGAAAAGATTAAAAACTGTACTGCCTAAGATAGTGACTTTGCAGCAATCATACCTGTGTTCTGAATCATTTCAGAGCTCCATTCAAAGAGTTCCCCAGCACTATTCTTGGACCCATACAACACAATGAAACAAATGAGAGGCCAACCAAAAGCTTAACGGTCGGCCCTGGCTGAGCCCCGGATCCCCCTCACCACCTCATGTCCTCACTAAGAATCAGGATCTTTCAGCTCAGTCAAGCCCTTCTGCACTCCGAGTGAAAACTAAGAAATGAGTAGCACGATCATGTACAACCATGTTTCATACTTCATGATTCAATTTGTTATTCCCAGAGAATGAAGTTAGCTATTATATATCAAGAAAAAAAAAGGATTTTAAACGTATGTGGCTCGTGCACTGTTGCAACTGAAGCTCTCTGACATTCCATAGAGAGTAATGGCTTACAAAGTCAAGTTATAGCGGTGTTTCTAACTCTAAAGTGGAGGTTTTAGGTCGGATGACGAGAAGGGAAAACTGCAGGGGTTTATGGATTGAGGGCCTAAAATCAGAACTCTCATGCTGAAAGGGGAAGGGAAGGAAACGAATAATTATCCTACTGTGCATATTTAATTATTATACTGTTATTCATTTTATTTAGCACTCAGAAAAATTACATCATTCGGCAAGTCTTAACAAGGGATCAGACAAAAATGTTTAAATTTATGATTAGTAGAGGCCAGGTTCCAAACCCAAATCTGCCTGTGCTAAAAAAAAAAATCTTTCCAATACACAAAGTTAACCAAATCTGTCAGAGATCTGACTGTGAATCAGACAAGAATAATCTAATTTATTTCTTCCCTGCTTCAGGCTACCGGTGGTAACGTTCTCGGGCCCCTGAACACTCCAACCAATGCTTCCTAGGCTACGTTGCTGTCACCTAGTGTGGTGATCCGGAGCACAAATCGCGTGCACAGGAGACTCGCTTCGGGGCAGAGGACGAAAGGAGGGCAGAGGGTGTGGTTGCGTGTGCAAGGACCTAGGCGGGCCCTGCGCGCGCTTCCGGAGTCCGCCGGCCCACCCGCCCGGCAGGGCCCCGCACCCCTCACCGCTGCTCGGGCCCGGGCGCGGGCCGTCGCCGCCGCCGGGAAAAAGCTCCTCCGCGGGGCCCTCGAGCGTCGTGGGCGCGGACGGCACACCGTACGTCGGGCTCTTTTCGCCCCAGTGCAGATTGCGGCTGCCCGGGATGTCCGGGGGAGTCGTCACCCAGTGGCCCAGGTCGGTCCCAGAGCCGAAAGAGCGCGCATGGAAGGGGCCGCCGAAAGGCGGATCGTCCCGCACGCCTCCCCGGTAGCCCAGGCCATCGAAGCCGTCGGGGCGCCGCGGATGCATCTCGGACGGGCGGACGAGGACGAGAGGGGCCGGCCCGCCGAGCCCAGGCCTCCACCGCGTCCCCGCCGCAGTCGCCGCGCGTCAGAAGACTGACAACCGGAAGTCACGACTGAAACCCGGAAGTCCCGGGAGCACACGTGACTCTGCCTCGCCTCTCTTCTTCCGAACTTGGTTGCCAGGGAGACGCGGCAGCGGTCTTAGGCTGGAAGGGGAAGGATGCTTGCTGGGCCTGGTCGCAGAAGATGCAGTGTGTATTCTCTGCCTTCAGGGATGCTTCGCATGGTACAGCAGCCCCGGATGACTTCGGCCGGTTGCAATATGCCGTCTCCCCTTCCCAGGAACCCCACATGAGGACAAGAGTGGCACTCAGTCTCCCTTTGTCTCCCGTTGTAGGGGCCAGCAAGCATTAGCAAAGTACAAGTCAAAAACACCCTCTCGTGAGAATACATAATGCCCTCTACAACACAGGAATCAAGTGTTTAACTTTTCTAAGACCACAAGGCAACTATAAACAACTTTCTTCTGATGTATCCAAATAACTTGAGGTACTAAGATCACAGCGTTGTCACTGAACACCAACCCCCATGAAGACTTCTATTGATTCCCCCCACTACCTGTTTTTATTAGTCTTTTGGGGTGTTGAGGCTGGGTGGTTCTCGATAGAGCTGATTGTGTTTTGCATGTCTTCTTCCTGAGCCTTCTTCCCAACTGAACGCTAGAATCTGAGGGTGTTCAGAAGAGAACCCTGACGTATTGCCCTCAAAAGCCATGAACCTTCGTTTAAAGGGATAACCACCTTTTTTTAGCAACTTGACATTTCTTGTGTTATGTTGTGCTCTGGCAAAATGTGGTGAGTCCAAATCATACTGGACGTGGCAATAAAAGAATTTCTTTTCCTCAGCTTGCTGAAGGGAAAAAGTTTGCTAGCCCTGAGCCCTAGAGGTTTCTGTATGGTTAGTGATTTGTTTTAAGGAGTAGAAAGACAGGGAGTTTTAATACAGAAATGTGGCACTTCACAATTTCACGTCCTTGAAAGTAGAGGGAGAGAATGGATTATACCTCAGGAATAAGGGAAACAAAGCGATAAAAGTCATTACTCATAAATTACAGCTATAATGCACTATCATCTTCCTTGTTTAAAAAATTGGAAGAAAATATGTGGATATTTTTATACAGTAAATTGGAAGACTTTCTAATCCCACATCAAACCTAAAAGTCATTTAAGTAATTGGGAAATATTGTAATTCGTTTTACTGTAAATTTTAAATTCAATAAATTAAAAACAGTTGTAATCAACATTAAAAAATAAATGACAAACTGGGAAATGACATTTTAGGATGGCTTAACTCTACAAAGAGCTTTTGCCAATGAATGACAGTAAATCAGTATAAATATAAGCAAAGAATATGAAGAAGCTATTTTAAAAGGTGAGTAATCATATAAACTATGTCTTACAGCAATGAATCATTGTACATAAACAGTCACCTTTCCTTGGTTAAAATGGCAATCTTGGCTAGGCATGGTGACTGAGGCCTATAATCCTGGCACTTAGGAGACTGAACAAGAGGAATGCCAGGAGTTCCTAACCAGCCTGAACTACAGGTTAAAATCCAGTCTGAGGCAAAACCAAAACAATAATGTCAGTCTTTATACAAAAATGCACATTATTGTTACAGGTGAGAAGAAGTATCTTTCACATGAAGAGTGATTATAAAAATATAACTTTTTGGCCTTCCTGCGGATTTTCCTCCCTCGTTCTCTCTTTGCTGCCAGACCTCCGCCATCATGGGTCGCATGCACGCTCCCGGAAAGGGCCTGTCCCAGTCGGCGCTGCCCTACCGCCGCAGCGTCCCCACTTGGCTGAAGCTGACGTCTGACGATGTGAAGGAACAGATTTACAAACTGGCCAAGAAAGGCCTCACTCCCTCCCAGATAGGTGTGATCCTGAGGGACTCGCACGGTGTGGCCCAGGTCCGTTTTGTGACTGGTAATAAAATCTTGAGAATCCTTAAATCCAAAGGCCTTGCCCCTGATCTCCCTGAGGATCTCTACCATTTGATTAAGAAGGCAGTCGCTGTCCGAAAGCATCTTGAGAGGAACAGAAAGGATAAGGATGCTAAATTCCGCCTGATTCTGATAGAGAGCAGAATTCACTGGCTGGCTCGTTACTATAAGACCAATCGGGTCCTCCCACCCAACTGGAAATATGAGTCATCCACAGCCTCTGCTTTAGTGGCGTAAATTCCCTTGTATACACGAGCAATAAAATCACTTTGAATAAAAAATATATATATATAACTTTTTTAGGGAGAGCAGTTTAGTAGTGTGTTACCTTTTAAACTCTTAAATTTTAGGAAGTAAATATAACATTTGTGCCCTATACATGCTTTGAGCTTATATAATACACATGTGCTTATGACATACTTGCTAACATTAAGAAAAGCTTCAGGGTTCTAAGTAATAAATCATTATTATCTTACTAATCATTAATAACCTAAATAATTACTAACCAACTAACCACTAAGTAAATATCAATTCAGATCATTAATTAAAACATAGGTCATCTCTTGAGACAGAAGCTGTTTGGGTTTGGTGTGTGTGTGATTTTTTTTTTGCATGCATGCATGTGTTGTGAGCATGTTCATGTGTGTGAATGTAAGTGCACATTCATATAGAAGTCCAAAGTTAACATTAGCGGTCTTAATTGATCTCTGCTTTATTTATTGAAGTATAGCCCCTTATTAAAGAGGAGCTTGCCAATTGCAGATGATCTAACTAGCCATCTCGCTCCAGTGCTGTGGGATAATCCTTCTATACTCTATGAATATGCTTTATTCTCATTGGTTAATAAGAAAGCTGATTTGGCTTGTAACAAGGCAGAATAGAGCTAGGCAGGAGAGCCAAACTGGAAACAAAGAGAGGAAGAAGGGCGGAGTCAGAGACAGGAGCCAGTTGCTGAGGAAGCAATATACTAGCAGATGGATAAAGCCACAAGCATATAGCAAAATATAGATTAATAAATAGGGATTAATTTAAATGTAAAAACTAATTAGTAATAGGTATGAGCTATTGGTCAAATATTCTGTAACTGATATAAGCTTCTGTGTGTTTATTTGGGACCAGGCAGTCTCGTTTGCAGCCCAGGAATATGCTGCCTCTACCTACTGAGTGCTTAGATTGCAGTCCGCCTCCATACCCACCTGGCTTTTATTTGGGTGCCGGGCAGGCGATCTAAACTCCTGTCCTCATTCTTACACCACAAGTGACTTATCCAATGAGTCACTCCCATGCCCCCTCCCCATACTGTTTTAAAGAATAGGCATGCAGTGTTAAATGAGCCAGACATACAGTTTAGAGAGACAAACAGCAGACATACACATGCAAACACACAATGCAAACGTAAGGTAATGTCAAATGATAACTTTGAAAAAACTGAGCACTAATTTGGCCTTTATAGATTAGTTGTTCTAGAAGATAGTCCTCTCTGAAGAACTGGCCTTTGAATTCTGGAAAAAACAAAACAAAACAAAGGATAGCTGAAGGGAGTAGAGCCATGTCTCACAGGCAAGCTGGGTGCATCCATAATTAATAAGAAGTTTCTGTGTCATTATTATTAAAAATTTGTATTCTACCAGCCTGGAAAATCTGACCCGCAAAAGTTAATCAAGGTGAAGTGGGAGCCAGAGCCCAGGGCCAGATGGATTCAGAATTCTGTCACTACTTCAAAGAAGATAGAACAGCAGTATGTTTTTAGTTCACTGATTTCTGCTCTGATTTTTATTATCTCTTGCTGCCTTCTTGGTCTTGGTTTGTTATTATGTCTCTAGATTCTTAAAGTTGCATTATTAAGTATTTTTGTGCTCTTTCTGATTTTTTAATATGAGCACTTAAGCCTACAAATTGTTCTCCTAGGACTGCTTCTAACATGTCCCAGCGGTTCTGTTGTGTTGTGCTTTCATTTCCATTGAGTTCCAAGAACTTTTTAATTTCTTTCTTGATTTCTTGTTTGACCTAGTCAACATTTAACATTGAGTTATTTTCTCTTCCTGAGGGTGTGTACTCACTAGAGTTTGGTTTGCTATTGATCTTATGATCAAATAGGATACAGTTATTTAAATTTTTCTGAAGTTATTGTATCTTCAGATATGTTTATTTTAGAGAAACTTCGATGGGTGATTGTGTAGAAGGTATTTTCTTTGCTGTTTGAATAAAATATTCTGTAGATATCTATTAGTTCCATTTGATGTGTGACGTCATTTATGTCTGATGTTTCTCTATATTTTTGTACAGGTGACCTGTCTTTTGGAGCATGTAGAGGTATTGGAATCACTCACTATTAATGTGTTGATGTGAATCTTCATTTTTAATTTTAGTAGTACACATTTTATTAATTTGGATCCACCAGAGTTTATATATAATACAATCATAAATAATACAATAAAAATATATGTAATATTATAAATAATATGATGTAAACATATGTAATATTACATATAATACAATACAAATATATGTAATACAATTATATATTATTGTATTGTCTTCTTGGATAACTGTTTCCCTATTTAGAATGAAGTGTTCACTTTATCCCCCTACTCAGTTTCATTTTGAAATCTGTTTTGTCAGTATTAAGATGGCAAGCCTGCTTGCTTCCTGCTCGCTCCCCCATCCCATTTGTTTGGAGTACCTTTTACCATCCTTTCACGTTTAGGTGGTACCTGTTCTTAAAGATGAAACAACAGGAAGATGAGTTTTGTTTCCCAATCCATTCAACTAACCAGTGTCTTTAGACTAGGGGATTGAAACTATTAATATTAAACTTGTTATTGAAAAGTGCTTGTTTATTGTAATCATTTTATTTTTTAATGTTTTGTTGTTTGTTTAATTTGCTTTTCTGTTTTGTTTTGAGACAGGGTTTTTCTGTGTAACCCTGGCTGTCCAAGAGCTCTCTATATAGATCAGACCAGCCTCAAATGTACAAAGATCCACCTATCTTTGCCTCCCAAGTGCTGGGATTAAAAGCTTGCACCACCAGGACCGGCAATATTTGTTATTTTTATATTATAGATATGTGTATTGTGTAGGTATGTATATATGAGTTCAGGTTCCCAGAGAGGCCCGAATCATTGGGTACCTTGGAGTGCAGTGAGCATCACAGATACTTTTGACCTGGGTACAGGGAGCAGAACTATGGTCCTCTGTACCTGATACTCAATCTTAACCCCAGAACCATCTTTTCAGCCTTTACTTTTTTTTTATTGAGGTACATACATCAGGTCTAAACATCACCTTTTTTAAATTACTAATTTATTTATTTTATGTGTATGGGGTATTTGTAGACTGAGGCCACTTGTTTGGTTCCCAACCACCCAGACCCGAAATAATTACACAGAAACTGTATTAACTACAATACTGTTTGGTCAATAGCTTAAACATATTTCTAGCTAGCTCTTACATCTTAAATTAACCCATTTCTACTAATCTGTGTATCGCCATGTAGTTGTGGCCTAATGGTCAGGTTCCATCCAGTGTCCAGCGTCTGTCTCCTGTGTCAGCTACATGGCTTCTCTTTGATTCTGCCTACTTTCTCTCTACAACTCTGTTTGGATTTTCCAACTTCCGTATTTTGTACTGG